GGCTGGTGAGTTGAGGTCTGTGGTTGAAACTTGGATATTTGGAGGATTTTGGAGGTAAACATGGTTAACAAAACCATGGTTTCCTGTAAACAACATCCTTAAATCAATCCATTGTTATGCAACTCAATCTTTTGCCCTGATGGACATGTGCGGTATAAACTCAATGCCATGACTCAACCATGCAGAATGGCAGAAGAGACCACTCAGTGGCTCAAAAACGTGCAGGGTATAGCTAAGAGTGGCCACAGAATCAGTGGCTGGGCGTAGTTTAATATTACTTGCTGGTAAATCACACATTGACTTCGGTGATGATCTGGTCAATTCTCCTTGTTTCTGGTGGGACTATGTGGGACTTGCCGTCGAAAATTCTCAGGGAATTGGGATGATCCAAAACCAGAGCAGGTCACGACTACCCGTGACTACCCGCGACACTGAGCAGTGGCCAGATTCACACGACCCGACTGCAACAGAATCCCCTGGTCGAATTTGAGGCAAAGACATGGGAATTCGGAATGCGGCCACGATATCTGATTTGAAGCTGTCTACTTGTTTGAAAGACGTCCTTGGGGTATCCACGGAACTCTATCGGTATCTCTCAAACGTTCTCTTGACATGAAAGTTTCAACCCGACCTAGCACTCTGCACCGCCAGGATCTCGTTGTGGCGCAGGCCCGGTGGTGATCAAGAATCAAGGGGGTAATTTTCACATCGAAGAGTCTTTTTGTTTTTTTTTGTTCAATTTTTGAGGATCTTATTGGTAAGTATACCAGATCTAATGATATAGCCTTTAACTTTAGCGCTCATTTTCGAATTTTCTTATGATGCGATCGCCGTGCGACTGATGGGTTGACTGAGAAAAGTCTGGGGATATGGAACATGAAGATTTTTTCTGGGGGACATGGAGGATATGGAGGCCACATGGTCACCAGGTCGAAGCGATTGAAACGTTAAAATGGCTGGGTTACCTCACCCAACTGTTGGAACATGATTTCGCCCTGATTTCCAGCAGATTTCGGAGCCTTTCAGACGTGCAAACAGCACATTTTCTGGACTCTGGATACCTCTGGATGATCTCCATGGGTTGACAACGAAACATGCCATGGGGAAACACGAGTTGTGTGAGGTTTGTTTGGGTGCAAGTTTGCAGATTTATTTCAGAACAAGAATTAATGAATATATCCTATGGGACTCCTTATCAGCCAACCAGTAGCCTTGCGGATGACAGAAGATGACAAGAACGAGTATGAATAATACTCGTTGCTCAGAACCACAAGCAAGGCATCAGTTTCTCAACAGCAAAAAACACATCATCTGTAGTGACACTTTTTTCTGGTCTCCAACTTCCAAGACTCCGACCATGAAGTCGAGTCATTTCGATCTGTTGGATTTCTGGATGTTGCTCGGTTTCTAATTGGATTTGATGTGTCAATTTCTTGTGTTTTGAGCTGGCGCACCCATGAACGCATGAGTTGCAGAAGCGCCGTCCGCAGCCACCTCCTTCCATCCATAGCAGGATTTGAGCAACTGATAGATGTTGATAGTCAGATGAGACTCATAAAATTATCCAGGAGATGTACAAAGCTCTCAAGTACCAGCTTTGTCACATCATTTGCACTACTTAGTGTTGCCTGATTGCAGTCGCGCTGCATCTGGAAAAGAGGCTGCCCATAGAGAAATTGCGGCGGGTGAAAGCAATCCTTGATACTTAAAGCCTCATTGTATATAGCATTCCTTGGACAAATCTGTCATGACTTATAATATATATATATATATTTTGGGTACAGCTTTGCTGGATTTCCACTCAAATCGAGCCAGCAATGGAAGTGTGTTTCCTAGCCTCCGGTCAGAGAGTTGCCGTGCTTGAGGCGGCCGAGGTCGAAGGAAAATCTGCCAAGGCTGTGAAGCAAGCCTTGGCAGCTAAGATTGGTGTCACGAGATTCAGGCAGAAGCTTTTTCTGGAAGGTGATGGTGGTGAGATCCCCGATGATGAGATCTTTTCCTCAGTGCCTCCAAAGCTTCAGCTGGTGGTCTTGGAGTTTTGCCCAGCAAATTCCAAATTAGACAAGCAGATGAAGTCTGCAGCAAGGAACAATGATACAGTTGGCCTTCAAGAGTTGCTCAAGGGGCCGCGAAGTCCGAACGCAAGAGATGCTGAGGGCAAGAGTCTCTTGTACCATGCTGCAGACCAAGGGCACGTCGAACCCATGCGGCTGTTGCTGGAGGCAGGTGCAGAGATAGATGCACAAACGGCACGAGAAAAGATGGCCCCCTTGCACAAGGCAGCAGATTGTGGGCACCTTGAGGCAGTGCGTTTGCTGGTTCAAAGTGGTGCACAGAAAGATGTGCTTGATGCCATACGGCGAACCCCATTGGGCCTTGCAGTTTTGAAAGGCCATGTCGACATTGCCCGCTTTCTTGTGGAGGAGGGAGCCAACAAGGATGAGATCTTCAACAAACGCCATGGGACTACTGCTCTGCATACAGAAGCTGAAGACGGCAATTTGACCACGGTCCGCTTCCTCGTTGAGATCGGTTGCGACAAAGATGCGATCGTCGAGTTTGGAGGAACACCGCTGCATCGAGCAGCTGAAGCAGACCGGTTGGACATTGTCCGCTTTCTTGTGGAGTCCGGTGCCTGTCGTCACTCAACCGACGAAGAGGGAAAGACTGCTTTGGATCTTGCATCCTACCACGGCCATGCCGAAGTGGTTCGCTTTTTGTCTGAGTTCGAGGCAGAATCCCCCTCAAGGAAAGTCCCACGGGTTGGCAGTAACAGTCCAACATAGTCCGACCAGTCGGCGGTGATAGACTTGAATAAAAACGGAAGTTTGCAGCCTGAAGCAATAGTGCTTCTTCCCGACATCCCGTCAATCCAGTGTGTTTTCATGATTTTCATGACCTTAGCGAAGCCTTAGGATTGACCATGGACACTGTTTGGCAAAATGGCACCAGTGTCTCTTGCCAACCACTGACCATGTGGCTGATTTATGGTTACCCGACACGCTCGACCCGACATATTCGATGATGAATGTAGTGTTGACCTGCTTTATGCTCTTTTTGCATGTTTTTGCCTATAGGGCCTACGTAGTTTTACAGACATACATTGCTTTTTAATTTCATCGTTGATGCATCTGATGCTTTCCATTGTTGATTTATAATGATTTATTTAAGTCTGAGTTGCCCTCCAATAGGGCTCCCCCACAGGTTTTCCACCGTGGAAGCACGTCTATATTGCGGCTGTAGGGTAGCGCTCCAAAACTGACTCGAACACTCGAAGCAACAGGAATCCTCCTTTGCACCGCTCCACCTGCAGGTGTTCCTTCAGCTCAACCCCGGTGTCGTTTGAAGGCACAGAAACGTCAGATTTTGACATTTTGACCAATAGCGGCTGGTGAGTTGAGGTCTGTGGTTGAAACTTGGATATTTGGAGGTAAACATGGTTAACAAAAGCATGGTTTCCTGTAAACAACATCCTTAAATCAATCCATTGTTATGCAACTCAATCTTTAGGAAAGATACACATATGACTCATCATATGACAGTAATGAGAAGTCTTGGCAGGAAAAGAAGTATATATGAAAAGATCTGGTGACTTAAACTTCAGTCAACTTGCCCACCCTGTCCACTGCCTGTCCACTTTGCCATCGAGGCCATGTGCTCCGATGCGGTGATGAGCGCCGATCGTGTGTCTGTGATCTTCAGCTTGGCTTGTTTCGGCCGCAACTTGACGGCAAGGAGAAAGAGTAGGCCGAAGAACCAATGGGCAAAAAAGAGGATTTTCCAGAGGAAAGAGGCTTAACTGCCATATATAACTGTTGTACATGATATAGCAATATCTATGATATAATCTGCCATGCCATATATGAGGCTTCACTTATGCAGTGTCAGTTTTTGTCCCCAGAGAGTTTGATGCCAAGACTCTGTGGCTGTGGCAACATCCGCTGGATGGAATGATGTTCTTCACCTTGATATTGATCAATTGCAACAAAATATGATAAGATAAGATATGATAATAAAATACACAAATCCAAAATCAGAAGAAATTCTTAAATCCCGAGGCACAGCAACATTCAGCTTGCACTGTCGGAGCCAAGGAATGTACTTTTGGGCACATCATTGCTTTGACGTTCTCAACTTGTGATTGCCCTGTGTGCTGCTTGGCAGATGACATCAACTTCAGCTTCAAGGGTTTAGACCCGGATGTACATTGGTTGTACTGCTGGGATTTTAGTGTAAGTCACCAAGGCATTTTTGTCCTTATGCACCAAGATGGGTTTGTTTAAAATGAGGTACCACCTCTATTCAATAAATAACTGTGTATATGTATATATATATATGTATATACATATATATATATATGTGTATATATATATGTATATATGTATATATATATATGTATATATATGTATATATATATATATGTATATACTGTATATATACACATAGTAAAGATCAGGTTTTCCTTCTGAAAATTGTGATTTGGAGAAATCTACCCCATATTACACCATTTTATTGCACGGCCAAATCAGTATTCCGGAGATGGCACAGCACAAGTGTCTTGCAAGAATCTTGTGAGATCTTTTGGGTACACGGCTTGAGGTTACGCTTCCAATGAGTTTCCACCTATCGCTTTCTTCTGTCCTTCCTCATCTTCCTTATAGCGGTTGCTGCGCAGAAGCGGACGCGCATCTTCGATGAAAAGAAAGATGTGACCGTGCCCAGCGCAGCATAGCTATGGCGATCGATCGAGTGCCAGAAAAATAGGAGGGCGATGGGGGCGCTTTTTGCTGGGTGTTTCTGAACATTAGTCCTCAAATCCTTTGTCCATTCCATAGAAACCCACAGTTTTGGATGAGGAATCATCTAATGAAGTCATAGTCAGAGATGTCCATGGTGTACTGCAAAAATGGTTCAAGAAGTTCTAGAAGACTAGGAGGTATTTCTGTGTTCCCAGTAGGCTAAATGGCTTCAGCCACCCTGCGCAGCCGTTTGGGTTCCAGTTTAGTTTGACCGTTGGACCGTTGGACCGTCACCGGCCACAGGTCTCCAATCCTGTTTGGGGGTGATGAAACTCTTCGCTCCCTTGGAAGACTTGAAGCTCTTGATATCTACGAGTGATGAAGATCGGCTCTCCGCGCTGGACGGTGTGAGGGCTCTTGCCCTGCTCTGGGTCTTTGCTCTCCACAGCGCACAAATTCCCATGTGGGTACCCCCATCAAGCATGAAGATCAGTGAGGCTTGTCGCTGTTGTCGTTGTTCAAAGCATCCGGGTTTGTCAGAAGATTAAAAAATTACTGCAGGGGGTCCTCAAACAACTAGTTCAGTAAGGAAATAATGGTTTCAAGTTCCAAGTTCCAACCCGACCATTGGATTTTTTTTGCCTAATTTTGCGACTTATTCAATCTTATTAATCCTGGTTGGTGGTTTCAAACATTTTTTATTTTTCCATATATTGGGAATAATCATCCCAACTGACTAATATTTTTCAGAGGGGTTGAAACCACCAACCAGAATCTGATTGACCTAAGACAGGTTTGTTTCATAAAATCTCTTGACCTCAAAACACGGCTCAACAATACTGTTTCATAAGTGTGCTTGAGAATCTATTGCCAATAAAGGGTCAGACTCTGTTTGTTTGCAAAGTTGAAAAAAGACATCAACCACCATGACGAATCTTTGACCCTGAGGTCTATATCGAGCTGAAACAACAGTGGTGGTTCCAAAGCACGATTCAAGGTGGCACGGGAGTGGATGTCTTCTTTGTGCTGAGCGGCCTGTTGATCAGCAGCGGCTATCAGAGAATCAAGGACCCCTCCTTCTTCAAGCGCTACGGATCTTTCCTTTCGAGGCGCTTCTTCAGGACCTGACAAATGGCAGTGTGCCAAAACCTTGTACCCCTGTAGTTCACATCAAAATAGCTGGTATTTATGGATGTTCATCCCCCTAAAAATGGTATTTTCATAGGTATTGATCCATACCCAAATGACCTGACCAAAAAATAGGTCCCAAATCTGGTCCCCTTAACGGGGATGGTTTCAGTCAAATCATCCCAGAAGGGGATATTGAATTTTCCCCACAGGACTGGGGATGGTTTCAGATGGTTGTGGATCGATCCCACATAGGATAGAAAGGTCAAACCAGGAAACTAATGTAAACTAGGTAAACATCCAACCAGCCAGTGGGCCATTGTTCCTTTTCTCTCCAGGATATGGCCTATGGTTTTTGCGGCGGTGATGACCAGCGTTTTGATGGGCTTGTGTATCTCAAGTTACAGCCTCAAGAATGCGGAGAGAGTTTGGGCATACCTGCTTTTAGTGCCAAACTTTGTTCCGCAGAGCTTGAAGAAGTCAGACATCAGTCAGTTGTGGAGTGTTGGGGTTGAGATGCAAATGTACTTAATCACTCCATTTGTTGTGGACCTTCTGGTGAGCCGAGAAACTGGCAAAAGACGTTCCTGGGCCTTCTTGGGATTAGCAACTTGATGGAAGCTGTAACCTTTTCATTTATATAGAATCATTCCAAGAGCATCTGGAGGAATTGCACATGATGTACCCCGTTCCCTCTATGTGTATGCTATATTTAGCTACCTTGTACATTCATCATAGTATCTATCACCAACAATATGGATGGGATGGGGTATACTCTATCTCTTTCTTTCTTTTGGCAAACATGTGGCAGGCAATGATCTCGGCCTGCTGTGTGGCGTTCAGAGTTTACCTGGTCTATGGCCCACCACAGAACTCCGTGGTAGACACCTGGCCGCCTCCTCCTCTCTACGTCAACCCGCTGGCGCGGTTGTCTCCTTATGCCAGCGGCATTGCCGTACACTTTGCTCTGAGTGATTGCCAGGAGGGACAAAGTGGAGGTACCTGGCGACGGCCACTTGGCGTGGGCCGGGTGGGGGAGAGCGTGAAAACCAAGTGGATCTCAAGAGAGAACAGCGAACAAGACCTGAAGGATCGGCTTTTGAATTCAATGAACATCATAAGCCCTAGCTGCGTTAAGGGTATGAATTCAATGAGATCACAACCACGGTGCCCAAGTCCAAACAAGAGATTGTGAGATGCAACCATGGCAGCATTGTGGACATTGGATATTGATCCTGGATCTGAAAACGCTTTTTGCTGGTTCGTATGTTATGGCACGGATGTGGGGATCTGGGCTTAAATATCTCATCCATTTGCCCAGACGACAAAGTCATTTTGGCTATAAAAAAAAGGCCCCACTGCAATGAGAACTTTTCCACAAGATGGTAATTTGACTATGACAAAAATCTTTTGGTGACTCACGACACAACTACGTTAGCTTCCACATTTTTCTCTCACTTTATAATCATGCCTGATTTCTTCCACTGCGTGACCGAATGGAAATGGTCTCACTTTGTTGCGACTTTTCAATGATTTCCGGCATTTCACGGGTTTGTCATGTGTGCACTGCATGGGATCAACACCAGCCCAGCCCCACAGAGGCTTTGCTCTTTCGTGGTCGATGTGTTGGCGGTCAGCGTCCTTGCTTTGTCCTTCTTCATTGGTTCGAAAGTTCTAAAACCACCCTTCTTCACCACCAACATTTTTTCGCCTCTCGCGAATGAGCTCATGGTGATTACTTGGCCGCCTCTCTATGGATGGTGCCTTGCTCGTGCGATCTTCCGTGCGATCACTGCGCCGAAAGGGAAAGATCTCAGTGAATGGTTCAACTTTTGGTGCTGGTTCCGGGCATTTTTGAGTTCTCGCATTTGGACTCCTCTAGCTATTCTTTCATATGGTGCCTATGTCTTGCAATTCATCATCGGTTGTTGGGCTTTGCCATATTTCCTAGATGCCGTCAACCTGAGCTTTTCAGGTCTCACTCGAGATGATGTGTGGCTGGGAGAAGCACTGCAGATTTTGATGCATTTCCTTCGGTTGATGGACAAAATCCTACAGTTGGTCCAAGCCTTATGATGGTTCCATTATATAATTGGCTCCATGATCTATGGTTGATTGCATCCTGAACAGTGGATGTTGTCCATCAACAGTGGTTCTTAATCTTTTTAAAACCATCTTTTTTGTTGTAAGCAGGGATCCACAAGTACCGCCACTCAACTGAAAGATGAGGCTTCCTGCCCTGTGGCGATATGCCGTGGTCTTTCTGCTCTTCACGCTGATCGGTTGCTCGGTTGGCCGTAGCTTTCGTCCCGTAAGCATACCTATTTTTTTTTTGCCGTGAAGTCTAGTTCGTTGCATTGAAGAGGTATCTATTGGTTATCAGATGTTTTAAGCATTTTTAAGCTATATTTATATATGATGTATGCAAAAAATCCTGGCTCTTGCTTCAAATGCCAGGCTATGCATTGGCGCTCCCTTACCATCTTTTTGTGGAGAAGCCAGGCATGAGATTAGGAAAGGTGCTCAGTGACGTGATATCCAAGTCCAGACGAGCCGTAGAGGCCGTGGAGGAAGGAAAGGCCTGGTTTTGAACCAAAGTCACAGATCACAACCTCCTGTACACGGTGGTGCCCCCCCAGTTATAAGTTGGTTTATAATCTCATTAACTATAGATATATCTACCATAAGTCCTAGTTATTGGAGTTATAAACCAACTTAGCTATCTTGGGGGCACCACATTGTATAACATACTCAAACCCTTGGGTTCTGAAACTATCTCTGTTTGAAAGTCCGACTGTCGACTGTTGATTTCAATTCCGGCCAACACGGCAAGGGGTTTTACGTCTCCTTCCGACTTCGACGTTTGACCAAAGGCTTATGTGATTGCTTGGATTGGTAAACCTCCAATCTGCTTAGATAAAACCCAAATCATCGGTTGACTCCCTTTGTTCCTTGCTGCCAGGTTCACTCTTCCAAGGGCCAGATTTCCAAGGGCCAGATGGAAGCAGACCTTGAAGTAGCGGGCGCATAGCGAAGCGCTATGGCATAGCAGACCCGCCTGCGAGAACTCACTTAGCGATGAGGTCGAAGGTCAAGCAGTGTAAAGATCCCTCAAATTTCTCCATTTGCATGGCACAAAGTTGATTTTGAAATGCACCTTAAATGGAGATCAACGGAGCTCAACTCACTGTTTTATCACTGGTTGTTTAGATCCTGCTTGCAACCAGTTGGCCATGGAGAAGTTTCGGGCTGAAGAATTTGATGCTGCCTAGCAGTAGCCTAGCTGCAGCTATGCATGAGGCATGAATTGGCATTCAGCCTTTGTTTTTCGGTTTTCCTGCACCGTTGATGCGAAGATGTGTTGCATTTGGAGTAGTAACAGCTCAATTAAACTTTAAATCCGCACCTTGTGGCGTTAGCGCGCCATGACCGACCGTCACAATGCCTAGGGCTGTGACTTTTGTTGCCGGATCTGTAAAGAATTGTCATGCCACGCTGTGGCAACGCCACAGCTGCACAGCTATGAGGCGTAGTGTTCAGCAATGTTCAGCATAGTGCCTTAGCTCAGCCGGCACCCAGCAAATCATGGGGCGTGTGAGATCTCTTGCGACATGCCGTGCAAAAAAGAGAGGCAGACAGCTGCAGATCCGCCGACATCCGATGCATTCGGCGGCCAATTGATGCGCTGACTGCTGGAAGTTTGAGTCTCGTAACATGACATTTGGGAAGACATGACATGTGAAGATAGGTGAAGTACATGATGTTTTGGCAGTACATGACATGTGAAGTACATTTGAGCCTCGTTTTTACTTTTTACATGACATGGCTGACATGGCCTATTTGGGCCTTCCTGGCCTGGAGCTTCACTTCTTGCCACAGCAACTCGAAAAACCTATCATTGATATTGATATAGTCACTGTTCATTCATGTAGCCCAGGCAGTTTTTCTTGACACACAAGCATGTTATTCGCCACAGTTCAACTGTATACCATCTTCCAGGGGTTGTGCTGACCTGACCAATGATGATTGAGATTTTGTAGCGACCATGCGGCAATCTCTGGATGCCTACGCCAAAAGCGCGCAGGCCAGGCTGTTGCTAGTGACCAAGAAATTTGCAGAGCCGTGTCAACAAGTAATCTCAAACAGCTTGGTCTAAAAACACATGAAACATTGACCCCCCAACCAAGTGTTTTATATGCTAAGTTCCAAAATTTAACTTCCAAAAAATCTACAGTTTCACTGTTTCACCTGTTCATCTCTCATCTTAAACGGCACGTATGGTATTCTGTTGCTGCAGGTCTTGCTGCTTGTAAAAAATGGGTGCACAAGCTGGCCATGGCCTGGGGTCATGGGATGCCATGGGACAAAATGGGACAATGGTGATGAATGATGAAATACCATTTGGTTATTTAACATAGCCATGGAAAATCACCATTTTTCCCCAACAGCGTAAGCTAATGGGGTCTTCAGCCCAGAATAGCTCCGGTGTGCACTGGTGCAGGCGCCGGGTCAGGTTCAACGAGGTTCCGGAGAAGGTTCCAATGGTTCCCGAGAAGGTCTGGGAGGGAAGTCTGGGAGGCCTTGGTGCAGAGCCAGCTCAGATTCAACAGGGTACCGGGGAAGGTCCCGGAGAAGGTTCCAGGGAAGGTTCCAGGAAGCCTTGGTGCAAAGCCAAGTTAGGTCCACCAGGGTTCCAGAGAATGTTCCGGAGAAGGCTGGAGAAGGTTCCGGAGAAGGCCGGGGAGGCTTTGGTGCAGAGCCAGGTCAAGTTCAACAGGGTTCTTGAGAAGGTTCCGGAGAAGGTCTGGGAGGCTTTGGTGCAGGGCGAGGTCAAGTTCAACAGGGTTCCGGAGAAGGTCTGGGAGGCTCTGGTCCAGAGCCAGGCTAGGTTCATCACGGTTCCGGAGAAAATTCCAAAAAAGGTCTGGGAGGCTTTGGTGCAGAGCCTGTCAAGTTCATCAGGGTTCTGGAGAAGGGTCTGGGACGCTTAGGTGCAGAGCCAGTTCCAACAGGGTTCCGGAGAAGGTTCCGGAGAAGGTCTGGGAGGCTTTGGTGCAAAGGCGGGTCAGGTTCAACAAAGCTCCGAAGAAGGTTCCGGAGAAGGTTCCGGGAGGCTTTGGTGCAGAGCCAGGTCAGGTTCAACAGGGTTCCGAAGACGGTTCCGGAGGGTCTGGGAGGCTTTGGTGCAGAGGCAGGTCAAGTTCAACAGGGTCCCCGAGAAGGTTCCGGAGAAGGTCTTGGTGCAGAGCCAGGTCACGTTCAGGTTCCGTGAGGCTTTGGCGCAGAACCAACACGGTTCCGGAGAAGGGTCCGGAGAAGGTCTGGGAAGCTTTGGTGCAGCCGGGTCATCCCGAAAGTTCCCGGAGAAGGTCGGGGACTCTTTCGTGCAGAGCCAGGTCAGGCTCAACGGACAAGGAGAAGGTTCCGAAGAAGGTTCCAGGAAGCCTTGGTGCAAAGCTAAGTCAATTTCAATGGGTTCCGGAGAAGGCTTTGGTGCACAGCCAGGTCAAGTTCAACAGGGTTTCGGAGAAGGTCTGGGAGGCCTTGGTTCCGGAGAAGGTTCCGGGGAAGGTGTGGGAGGCTTTGGTGCAGAGCCAGGTCAGGTTCCACAGGGTTCCGCAGAATATTCCGGAGAAGGTTGTAGGAAGCCTTGGTGCAAAGCCAAGTCAGGTTCAACGGGTTCCGGGGAAGGTTGCAGAAGCCAAGCCAAGTGAGGTTCATTTAACTCAAGGAAATCTAGCTGAGGTGTTTCCAGCGCTTGGCTTCCCAGCACGCTTCAGAAAGATTTATAAAAATAAAGCGTTGCGGCTGTTGGGGATACCACCGAAGCTTAAGGTGAACCCAGGTAAACCATCTATAAATGGGCAATTTTCCATGGCTATGTTAAATAACCAGAGGGTATAGTATATGAAGTCAGAAGTGCACTCTTCCTATTCATATTTTTTTGGCATTGAGCTTTCTAAATTTCTACTCCTCCCCCCTAAAAATCAGCCAGTCGTTGTTTTCCCCTCGAATCATGCGGTTGATTGAAACCCAGTTTCCCTGTTCACAGGAGACAGCCGGGTCCGTTCGGTGCCCAAGATCCGTGAAGGGCATCAAAAACCTGGTGCCCTCTTCATCTGAAAAGGGATGATGTCATACCAGGAAGGGTTTAAGTTAATCATAAAATAACATGAACATGCACTATGAGATTAATATAATAATAAATAATAATAAAAACAGTAATATTCATATATATATGAATATATATATATATATAAATATTAACTAAAATCTCCACCAATAGAACAATATATAACTAATCTCCAACAATGCTGGGGTCACCACATCCAGGTATTTCGACACGCCAAAAACATCCAGCGCCTGAGTCACCCAGCGGATTGACGCGTTCATGTGGATGTGCAGTTTGTTTTTTTTTGGTGATGTCATTTGACCTAGCATAGTATATGCAATGATATCATAGCTATTGATAATTCAATATGACCTAGCATTTTGGTGATGTTAAAATATATACATATGAATGCTACCTACCGTCTGGTAATTTAATGGTGATTTATTGCTGTTTAATGGGACTTTATAGTGATTTAATGGATTATGAATGGGATATACCCTCTGGTCATTTGTCACATAGCTATTGAAAATGGCGATAGAAATAGTTGATTTTTCCGTTGAAACTTGTCATTTTCAATAGCTATGTGACAAATGACCAGAGGGTACTCAATATGGTAATGCTGTGTGTAATCGAACTCCAAAACATTCTCCATTTCCTGGATGACTGGTGGTTTCAAACATGACGGTCACATTTCCCGGAATTCTTTGGGATGCTCTTCTCCCCGACGAAGGTCCGAATTTTTCGGCTTTGTTACATCAACGAGATGAGTCTTGCTGGTTAGTAGGGAATGGGGGGTTGGGATGATTGTGAATGGTTAATATTGGTTAATATGTGGGCTTGTCTCAAAATGACGGGTACTCCTAATAGTCACCAGTTTCAATTTCAGATTATCATAGGATTTGGAGTATGGCACAATGATATGGCACATTAACATTGAGATTCACCACATTTTTCATGGCACAAACCAATGGATTTGGAGGCCCAATGCCGTGGCCCAAAGCTCCGCCCTGCCTGTGTGGAGCACGCCGGGAACCTCGGAACCGATGTCACTGTGGAACGGAGTGGTTCCCCCCGGAAGCGTTGAATTTCTTCGGGGGGTTCTCTGGATGAATATCGGGTGTCCATAAATTAACACATTGGGGGTCCCAGATCATCTATAACAATATTATATATATATATATATTTTTTGTATATTGTATATATATATATATTGTATATTGCATATATATATATATATTGTGGAATGTCCACAATTGGTAGGGAACTTCCAAGGAATGATGTTGATGATCGGGTCAACCAAGATTGAATCAGGTAACAGCAAAAGGAAGATCTGAAAAAGGATGGTCCCCTGAACCTCTATGACAATGGCCACTCCTATGGCAAACAGCACCGTCCCACCCAAGCTAAGTGCAGCTGGCTCAGGATATTTTCCTCTGAGCTCACCGTGTGCACAAACCCCTCGCTCGGGCCTATAGATGGCCACCAGGAATTTGTTGAACCCCTTGCTGGCTGGCATGCAGGAACATGACATCGGCAGCGACCCCAACTGGAGAGTTCAGCATGGAAAGGGAATATATATTGAAATCACACTCCCAAAAAAATTCTTTTGTTTATACTTCTTGCAGCTTTCATCCTGGTGGTGTTGGTGCTTCGTAGGGATGCACGGTGTTGGAAACCGTTTCTGACAACCAGGTCTTGAAGGCCTTTCGATCGGCGCGCTGTTTCAGAGTTTCATCAATGTCATGAAGACAGGTTTTACCTTGCTTGAGAAATTCACGAAGTCGAAAATTGTCCATGATTTTGGTTAATGCATCGGATAATTGAGCAGCACTGTGAACCCAGTAGGGTGTTACTCCGGATTGAATATGGTCTTTAATCACTAGGGCTTCAATGAGAGTTCTATGTTCTTGACACTGAGGTGTTGTGTTCTTTGAAATGACATCAAAGAGGGACTTGCAATCCATCACTGCAATGCCGGGTGGAGCCTTCATCCAGACCCTTTCAGGATTTCGCCAAGGAATAGATGGATTTTTAATCCATTCCCACATCAAACGGAGCCAGTTGGCAGTGTCCACTGCAGATGACAATGCATACGTTTCGGATGCCAGAGTACTTGCAACAACACGATCAATCTTCTTTGAATACCATGACAGTGGGCTTGCAATAGCACTTTTCTGATCAAAAATGTCCTTGTGAGTTGCTAAAAACAAACCTCCCTTTTGGCTATGAAGTTTCTCTCGTGTAGCAAAAGAGGCATCAGAATACGCCACTATTCGAATGTCATCACATGGCATGCTAGCTATTTTGATTGACATGTCAGCATGTGTCTTCGCATCTCCCAGAAGTCGGTTTGCTTCCAACAGGTCTTTGATGGTAGCACAGTTTATTTTTGACTGGAGAAAGCTCAAACGTGCTGAGAGGTCAGGACGCGTATTTGTCGCAGCATATTGCAGGGAGCCAATAAGGCCACGCAAGTTTTGGCGCTCTCCTTCGGTTACTGGCAGCGACTCTTGCTTTCTTCGTTGACGTTCAATGGGAATAGCTTCAATGGCAAAAATGTAATCCCTTTGACTGAGAAATATGTTGAACTGTTTATCTTGAGTAAGTTGGATTCCTGTGAAGGTGAAGTTGGTGTCACGTTTAGAACCAAAAGGGTACCGAATTTCCAACTGCTGTAGAGCCCTGTCAAAAACCTCGTCTCCTGCACAAAGACCATCGTCCACATGGATGCCAATCAGTCCATGTACTGCTCCATGTTCATCAACCAGGGGAAATAAACAAGGATCCAAGGGGCTGATCTGGAAGTTCAATGACAGTAAACATTCCTTAAGTTCCACGTACCAGAGGTATGGAGCATTTACCAGGCCATATGCGGACTTTAGGAGTTCACAGGTTTCATTTTCTTTTAACTGAAGCTTCTCTCTGAGTTCATTTGGAGGTTCTATTCCTAACACACGGTCATCCCGGCGGGATCCTCTAAGGAACGCGGTTTTCACATCAAAGCTTCGAATCTTCCAGCGACGCGCAGCACAGTATTGCAACAAAAGAGATCTAGAATCGCGCTGCAACGTTGGAGAATCTCTTGGTATTTCGGTGATATTGGGGTCCATGTAGCCGAGAACAACAAGTCTCGCTTTAGCTTTTCGATTCTTTCCCTCAATGGCCGCATCCGTAGCATCTAAGTCCTTCCAGGTTAACACCCAACGACACTTTAAGATGTTCTCTTCTGGAATCTTGCTTCGAAGAATTCTACGAACAGTGTTTGTATCAAGCCATTGGTTGATTTCTTTCTCTTTGGCCTTTTGGAATTCACGGATTTCAGAAGGCGTCAGGTCTTTGATCTTAACTTCGGCTCTTTGACGTTTGGCAGCTGAGGCTACTAAACTTGGAAATTCCTTTGGATGATTATGCATTTGTTCTACATCGTGTTCTGTCAGAAAAATTTCGCACTCCAAAACTTGGTCATGAGAAACATGCATCACATCTTCACAGAACAGAATGGCTTGTCCAGCATCGGGTACTACAATAAAAACGGAAACTCCAGTCCAGGGTTGATCCTTACACCAGGCGTTCTCAGGACATCCCCACATATCATGTTCTAGCCAAACAGCCCCTGTTGGAGTTGTGCCCGTTGTGACGCGAGTGTCGGACAAGTGCAGGATGTCCACAGGACAATCTGTGCAGCTACTTGGATCAAAAGCGGAAAAACGAGGCTTGTTATGAATCCGCATGATCTTATCTGTCTGACACACCCAGACATCTTCAAGCATGAGGTCATCAGCTTCAGGAACAGGAACCTCTTCAGGTTTCAACTCTGGGTTATCATTTGTTTCTTCATGCAAAGGAGTCGTGGGAGTGTACTCACTGTCTGCCTGAGAGGCAGGGGGCATACACGGTTCAGAGTCAGGTTGACTCTTGGCTTCCGGTGTGGCATCAACAGCAGGAGCTGCTTCCAGAGGCATCTCATTTCCAGGCATGTTTTCATGGTTCATGTTATCAGGTGGCACTCCTTGAAAGCCTGTCAAATCTTCATATTGGAAAACTCCTTTCCCCAGTTCTTTTGGAGGAGGTGACATATTGGTGGCTTCCAGAGTTGTACTGTACTGATGGGCTTCTCTCTCTGAAAGGAACCGGACATGTTCAGGTGCAACTCGATAAACACGACTTGAAAATGAAATCCAAATAACATTCTCAGATTCCTGGATTATGATCCTAGCTGGTCCATGCCATTTGCCTTTGATTTCACCACGGCCGGGACGCCAGAACATGACAAAAGCACCGCTGGCAAAGTGACCACGATGCGGTCGTTGACGACGCAGAAAGGCTCGTCTCAAACGATCACTGTTGTCAGTCTGCACAAATGCTTTTCTGGCCAGTTCACGGTATTCGAGGTGTTGTCTAAAGGCAAGACCCTCGGGACTTTCTGAGTCAGCTAGGTAGTGCGCAGGATCGGCATGATCTTCACATAAACTACCAGGCATCTTTCTGCTCTTACCTAAAACAAGGATTTCCGGTGTGTATCCCTTTGACCTAGCCAAGGAGTTCTTTGCCTGACAACACAGACGCAAGGCTTGTCGGAATTCCAGATCCGTCTTGATTTCACGATCTACATCAAATTTCTCAAGCATGTGCTGAAGGATATCCCCATGACGCTCTGTCTTTCCGTTTTGCCAATGAGCAAACGCAGCAATCACCCTAAGGTGAATGTTCTGACCTTGAGCATATTCGGCAAACTGATCGGAGCAAATCGGGGATGCATTGTCAACGATCAATTGTTGACATGGTCCTGCCCAGTGGAACCAACAGTCTTGCATAGTTTCAAACATGGATTCGGCATCAGTTCGAAAAATTGGTGCAGCAATCTGGAAATTGGTGGCAGCATCGATCATGTGCAAAAATTGAAACTGCTTCCCAGCTCTGGAGGTCCATGTCACAAGATCGCAGCCCACACAATCATTGAACTCACGCGGTTCAGGCAAACTAGCTGGTCGAGATATTTTTGGCTCCTGCAGCTCAACGCATGTGCTACATCGGAAATCTTCCACACCTTGAATGATGGTTGGATCCACAGCTTGTTGTTGGAGTACATTCTGAAGTTTTCGGTTGCTAGGATGGCCAAGATTGTGGTGTATCTTGGAAATCCATTGTCTTTGTTGAAGTGGTAATGATAGGAATTTGGGTCCATGATGTACTATTGATTGTTTAAGTTGTGCATTGGGTTCAACTGCTGATGGTGATCCGGTCGCAGCTTCTTGGAATTTGTCTGAATTGTTTGATGGAGTCTGAACATCTGAGATTCTGTAAGGTTGTTGGTTGGATTCCCAGGAATTATCTTCACTATGATCAGAACCTTGGCTATCATCACGAAGCTTCTTGGAGGCATGGGATGGACAAAAAGGTGACTGACTGTCCTTTGGGTCATCTTCGTGATCTCTCTTGATACCACTCTTCTCTCTGGCAAACACTGTTACTAACAACCGGGCTGGAGGACTTTTGGAACACAATTGGCGCATGCTGAGGTTCTCCCATTGTTCCCATTGGGAATCAGGAAAAGGTTCAAGGCTATGGCGGTGTATTCCAAGTGTCATGCGGAGAGGAGCCCCATGTGGTATCAACTTCACTGGGGATTTGCGGAAACGGTCCACTCCTTTGCACAGCTCAACAACTCGCACTATATGGTCAGGAAATGCTTGTTGCACAACATCAAACAAGACTCCATGCTCAAGCACAGTCTTACCAACACGAGGTGCTAATTGCAAAGCTTGATCAAGAATCATCTTCTTGGAGGATTTCGAATCATCATGAGAGGAACTTGCCTCGGATGTGCTTTCAACATTTCCTTCAGGAACGCTTGGAGAAGGGGCAATTGGATATCCCTCAGGCTGAGAGACTTTGCTGTTGAGGTGTCTTCGCTTAGCGGCAGCTTCAGAAAATTCTTCCATCGAACCAAGGATCACGTCTTGTGATATTGTGGACAGCTCTTGAACTTGTAAACTCGCACAGATGGTGCGTGCAACACGTTGACAGAACATGCGAGTGTACAGTTCCGTATACTCAGAGAGTCTACCATGAGTTCCATTGTTTTTGACATAGGATCCTGCTACTGGAACATGTTCATGATCGTTCTTACATCTGAACTGTTGGATATACCTGGCAAGAATGCTGGAAGTGGTGACAATCTGAGTGCCCTTCTGTAGAGGTATGTTCATGTTTGGATGTGTCAATTTCCCAGCAGTGCACATGTCACAACGCACACAATGGGCATGATCCATGACTTCCTGAAGGCATTCTTGTCCCAACATCAGCGATCCGACAGGTTGTTCTAGATGGAAGTGAAAGGAATCACCTCGCATGGCCTGCAATTTAAACAGCGCAGCACACAGAAGAAGATGCACTTCGTCATCTTCCTGAGCTTGACAAACCCTTTGTGCAGCTTCTAAGGACCTGTTCGCATTAAACTGAGACCATTTGCACCAGGCCTTACACTTGGGAGATGTCCAAATATGCTTTGGAGAACTTTGGAGGACTTTGTACAGCTGACATCGACCCTCGTATGTATTCAAATCTCCCTGTTTCAGGCCAAAACGCAATGCTCGAAGTCCTTGTTGTTGACACTGCGATGTCAAGCGGCTGTCAGCAGAACAATAAACTTCAAGAACATCCAGGCTTGATCGACTATGTCCAGGATTATGACCATGCTGTGAGAAATATTGCATCATTTCACAGAAGACCCAATTGGATGACACAACAGAAGATCTCTGAACCGGATATTTCTCCTTACCCAGGCTAGACATGTAAGCAATATATTCTTCAACCACCTGATCAATCATCAGTGTCTGAGCTGGCTGAGTCAATCGGACTGGGCCGCTGTGGCAGGCGGTGTCAGGCTTTGCAGCTGACTCACGACTTGCATCAGTACATTCTCGAGCTGGTCGATGCGGTTCATCATCTTTGGTGGCATGAGGGATTCGGCTAGGGACACCTGATCCCACGGCTCCTCGTCGATCTCGAGATCGATCGGCATCCCCGTGGAGGAGGCACCATGAGCCTTGCCACCGGCTTTCGGCTGCGGCTTCACTGGCAGTTGGGCGCCAGTCTTGGATCCATTGATCCCATTCTCGAATTCCTTGCGTTCCGTCCACATGTTCAGAAAGAACAGGAACTCCTGATGCTCGCTCTTGCTGCTGGATCCCCATTGGCGAAGAAACCACTGACAGTACTTTGGATCTGTCTCGACCACCTCCTTGAACGTAAGTCCGGCCTTTGCAGTTCCGAACTTGATGGTGAGGTTCTGGAGTTCTTCCATGCTCAAGGCCATCAGAGTCTGCTCCTTGCTCGACTTGTTCTGCATCTCCTGAACGGCAGCGAAGCGATCCGCAAGGTTGTTTAAGGACATGGCTACTCGCACACGGCAATGAATTGGAAGTCTCGGTGGGCTGATGGTTGGATTGATCCCGGAGAACTTCGGTAACTGCTTCACTTGACGTGCTGATCCTATCTGACGAAACATGACTTGAAGAATTGGCTTCCTCAGTTCTATCTACATCAGGCTGGATAGTCATTTCCTTCTCTACCTCAAGACTTTCAGTGTTGATCTTCAATGCATCTTGGTGCGACACACTGGATGGAAACTGGGACTGTTCGGACTGACACGAACAGACATTCTCAGCTTTCAGCATTGGTGTTTTGTCGGACTCAGCAGGTCTGGGAGGTCGCAACGAAACGAGCTCGGAGAAATCCAGCAGGAACAGTTTCTTGCCAGAAAGGGTCAATGGCATGGTGCAGTCCAATTCACGGAAACATATGGTCTGATTGGTGGTGTCAATGACAGCTCCAAGAGATCTGCAAACATTGTTGGAAATCAAGAAAGGTGTTTTGGTATCAACCACTGCAATCTTAATCCAAAAACGATCCACAGGCACCATCAACGCCACTCGGCATGGGACAACGCTGTTGTTCCCAAAACGAAACGACATGTCCACAGGCTGCTCAAAGACACGACAGCGAGCTGCTTCAGGCAGCAGTTCTAAGAATTCATCAACCTGATACCGACCCATTACAGTCTGTGATGCTCCCAGATCCAAAATTCCTATGGTTTGGTGAGTTGCAAACAACACGGACTGTTCATTGGCTGGAGTCTCTGGCGCATTCATGGAAGCTTTCTGCAAAAGAGCATCTGTCGGAGCAGCAGGTTGAACACTTGAAACTTGGAATCCATCGGCGGATGCATGCACGGAGTCATTGCTCCAACATTCAGGCGAGGGGTTTGTCTCACTGGTGCCATCTTCATTCTTCCTGGAGGGCGTTTGGACACCCATGTGTTGGCACAGAAAACTTAACCTATCCCTGACTTGGACATAAAACCGGCAGTTCCTTGGATTCCCCAGTTTATTCTTATCCCCATTATGATAATTCCCTTCACACGTGAAAACATCATGGGAGTGAGATTGTATGGTGACATGAGACGGGTCCTGAACAGACTGCAGGACATCGGATGCATCATGGACAAGGCTTTCGACCAGGAAAACATCGGCTTCATCATCGTCCGCATCAGTGGCAGAAATCATCATGTTGGTAGGCTGTGTCCGGGATCCTAAAGAGCTTCCAGTCGTGGCATTCTGTGATTTTTGGGGGCACTCGGCTTTCCAGTGTCCCTTTTGCCCACAGAGCCGACATTCCGACTCAGCGATCCTGACAGCGAGAGGCTTTCTGCCTCGGGCATTGAATCCCTTGGATTTCCCTTTCTTGCCACCTCCTTTGGAACGAACTGGCCAGAAGCCTCTGAACTTTGCTTTCTCTGTCAACTTGCGTCGAGCTTCTACGTAAGAGTTCATGAAGGCGTTCATTTCTCCGTCTGATTGGATCGTGTCGATGAGGGCATCTTCAAACTGCTGCACAACAAGTGCATCCTCATCATTTTCCGACAGAAACTGTTCCATGGCATATTCAGATACATCGGCATTTTCCACTGAAAAACCATACTGAACTTCTTCCCCATAGAAAACTTCTTCATCACCCTCGACATGGTTGACATCATAGGTCTTGGTCCGACTTTGTTTCACATTCCCTTGAACCTCCTGAAAGAACTTTGCACCAAGCATACGAATGGCCTTGGTGACTTCTTCGTACTTCAGGTGTCCTTGAGCTTCGATCACCACGCGCTTCTTGTCCTCAGAAACAAGGGCAGAGTTCCTCAGTAAGATATAGGCTCTCATATCACTGAGTGTTGCTCCTTGGCTGATCAAGTCTTCAAACAGGACTTCATGCCGGGCCAAGTACGACTCGTTGGTTTCATCGGATTTCTGGGAAATTCCAAAAATTGCTCGTTCGAATTTCTCATATTTGTCTTCAAGAACAGTCTTTCCCCACACTCCTCCAAGTGTAGTGACAAGGAGTTTGACTCCATCTAAACTGTTCACCTTCAATTTCTCAGTGTCCAGACGGACAACCTTTTGAAAGGCTGATCCTTTGCACTGCAACGCTGCTCGTGGAGCAAGTTGGTTGAGATATTCACTTGGCCAAATGCCAGCTAGAAACTCAAGGCGTCTAGCATACTCTGTAAGATCCGTTTCTCCAGGACTGAAATGAGGAATCAAATGCCAGGGAAGCTGTGAACCTGTGCTGTTTCCGGAGGGCGCACCAGGCTCGGAAGTTCCATCCATTGACATTGTGGACTCCAAATCGTTCAAAATCCCACAGGATCACCTCCTTTTCAGGATATCAGAGCAAAAAGTATTGGACCTCAAACACTGGTCCTTGCAAGTTTCACTGACTGCAACTCAGTTGTATGTTCACCACGCAATCCTAAGGAGCCAGTTGCTCCGCTACCAATGTGGAATGTCCACAATTGGTAGGGAACTTCCAAGGAATGATGTTGATGATCGGGTCAACCAAGATTGAATCAGGTAACAGCAAAAGGAAGATCTGAAAAAGGATGGTCCCCTGAACCTCTATGACAATGGCCACTCCTATGGCAAACAGCACCGTCCCACCCAAGCTAAGTGCAGCTGGCTCAGGATATTTTCCTCTGAGCTCACCGTGTGCACAAACCCCTCGCTCGGGCCTATAGATGGCCACCAGGAATTTGTTGAACCCCTTGCTGGCTGGCATGCAGGAACACGACATCGGCAGCGACCCCAACTGGAGAGTTCAGCATGGAAAGGGAATATATATTGAAATCACAATATATATATATCAGTGTTTGTATTCATTTATAACATTTAATAACTATATCACATCCGGTGATCCCCATTTTAATAGAACCCCCCAGAAAAATACAGTTGTGACTCCGCGGGAGTCTCCGGATCGAGGCACTGGCGGTTCAGACATGGTGACATGGCTCACCTGTTTGGGATACCTGTTTGGGACCAGAAAAATGGTCATGTTGAGTAGGGAATCATCAAAAAAAATGGGGATTGTGCAGATTGATCATTTTGAGCCATCTATACATGTCTAGTTTACTTAGTGACTTAGTCTAGTTTTTGGTTGCCTCTTGTAGTTTCTTCCACATGAGAGATCAGATATCCCCATCTGGGTCTCCAACAGCAACCAGAGGATTGGTATGATCCTTAAATACCACCAGCTTTCCTGGAAACCACCAGCTAGATTTGATGATTTCAAGATCTCTTAGCTTTCTTAAAGCATGGGACTAATCCCAGTGGTGATTTGGATGATTTTGGGCTTCTGGTGATTATTCCTCATGTCAAAGGAGTACTACAGATGAACACAGTCAATCCTACAAAAGATCCTGAAACATATTTCATAACTTGCATAATTCAGAGGTGAAAAACAACTTGCATATTTCATAACTTCCTGGTTGGTGGTTTGAAAGATTTGGTTTCTTTTCGCCAAGTTTTTCTCCCCACTGACTTTCATATTTCTACCAGGTGGGTAGTGCCAACACCAAGCAGTTTACCATGGCTTAAGAACTCCCCATGTGTCGAACACATCGATCCTCCCCCAGATTTCAGCTTCGAGCAGCCTGCTTGGTCCTGCATTGAGTGCCTGCGCCACAGGCGTGTTGTTGTTAGTGGTCAGTTACGCAGTTACGACATTCCCGTTGTTGGAATGTGGTGATTTCCTCAATTTTTTTGGGATCTAAAACATAGGGTGATGTTAACCATCCCAAATTAAAAAAACTATCGAAGTTTTTGTGGATCTTTCTGGGGGCGTGACAGATCTGCATGGGCATGGTCCTTGATTATATCTACCCTCGAAAAATGGCTGGCTGCAAACAATGACCTTTTTTGGGACTGGCAAATGGACCAATGCTGTGAATGAAAAATCATCTGTGGCTCCATTTGCTAGTGCATGTTTGAGACGCACCAAAATCTGAATCTAGAATAATCTTGAGTTAATTGGCTTTGATTTGGATATATTTGGATCAACATTCCAAACATTGAGGATTTGTAGATCAAACAGGACCAGGTGACCAGGCCAACTCCTTTTCAACAGATGAAGTGGTCATTCTTTTGGATTCGTCAGGTGCACAATGGAGGACAGCCCTGCTGTGGCAACGACTTGAGGAGCGGCTTTGGTCGGTCTGTTGAAGCAAAATTTATCGGAGGTTTTTCGTGGTTTCAAAGATTTGGATTATAAATTATAATGGTTTCGTGGTTACATCAATCCAATTATAATCAAATTATTATAGTCAATATTTATCCATCAATCCAATTTTTCGTGGTTACATTTGGATTATCTTGAACCATATCTTGGCTTGATGATCCCCACCAATATCTTCACACAGCATTGCGTGGGATAAGAGGTGACACATGTGACACCAAGGATAGTAGTAGAGACTAAATCAATCAATAGAAAACATTGTACAAGATTGTTGTTTCAACATGTTGCAAATCTACAGTACTCGTTTTGTTCTTGTCATGACCTGGAGACAATTTTAAACTGAACAGCGGCTTCAGGATCGACTGCCTTGCCGGCGGTTCTTTTTTGAGATTGGGGGTCGCCAAATCCTAAATCCTTCATTTGTGGATCGAATCGGATCCAAATTATTCATCATCTGCAATTCCCCAATCTGAAAAGAAACGGAGCTTTTGCTTTCAGAGATCTGGAAGTTTTGGACTGCCAGGATGCACCAGATCTTCGTTCCCTTACCATTTGCAGGGTAGCTCTGCTGGGGGAGATCTGGGCGATGAGAACAGTTGGACCGCTGTACTCCGTTGGGTGGTTGTGGAGCAGTTGAGAAACAAAGGTCTATAACTTACTGGTGCTTAGTAGGGAATGGGAGAATGACCCATGGCCATAAGCCACAATAACTAATAATTCATAATCATCCCATTCCCCCATTCCCCCATTCTTCCATTCCCCCATTCCCCCATTCCCCCATTCCCCCATTCCCTGCTAAGTGCCAGTATATACCCTCTTCAGTCATCATTCTTCCAGGAAAAATATATAGAAAAAAAATCATTGGGTTGAAAAAAAATCCCAGGGAGGCATGGCAAGGAGCCACTGCCAATCTCTGGGGCTATCCAGCCGAGTCACGTGTCGAAGATTTCCCGCTGATGGGATGAATTTCTCCAATCTGACCATGGGATTTTTCATGATTTTTCATGGTTTTTCAACCACCCACGAGTTATACTTTTGACATCTTGTGACTCTAGTTCCTAGAATCATACATTGGAGGTTGATGTATCTAGATGCATCTGGTTGCATGTTAATCATGTATTCACAGAAGTTGGTGGAGCATGTGAAGGTTCACGCAACTTTTTATTCCATCACAGCCATTCGAATGGAAAGATGGCCCTTTTTGGGCTTGGTTGAAGACAGCACTTGTACTTTTAGTACTATCACCTCTGGCTTTGTGACCCTATCACATCACATTATCTCATATCACATCATATTACATCATGTCAAACCATCTCTATAATATATGACATCACCGGTGTTGTTTCCCGGAACTGGAATCCGCAACTCTCCAAGCCTCCGCTTGGACGTCAGCTACCTTGACGTCTGGGCGTTAAAAACGCCCAGGATGGCAACTGACCCTACACGTTTTGCAAGATCAGCATCACGCCCGCTTGGAACCAGATGCAGTGGCGGCAAGGACACCCAGAACAAAATGGCATCCGGGATGACAAGGGATGATTTGCCATGTCCAACTCGATTTGATGGTCTTTTCTATGGGCTGTTCTATTGCTCATCATTACTGTATGCTATATATGTTAGATCACTGGAGGATCTGGAGGGGCAGACGACTGGGTGGTGGGGTCTAACTTAATTTTTCCCCATGCCACCCTTGGTAAAGATGCAATGTGATGAAGCATATGAGATGATGTGACCATGGGGGTGTGTCCCAAACTTGTTGACCCAGTAATCATTGTTCCAGCTTCCGCTTCAAGTTCCAAGTCTAAGAATTGGAACAGAACCCACAGCTGCAAAATCACAAGGGGCCCAGAATCCCTAGGTGCTGCTGTGAATGCTTGTCAGAATGCCACCCAATGGGTACAGGCCTGCGTCTGTCAGAGTGTTGTGCAGATTTCTGTTGAATGGAATGCATGGGCCTGTGCCAAATTCGAACCTACAAGCCGACCTATTTTCATCCAGCCATTGAGGATTCCCAATATGGAATGGATGACCATTTCCCATATGACGGAGTATTGACCATGGCACAAATGTTTTTAAACCAACCCATGTGGAAGCTGCCCAAGTTTGACGCATCTTTAAGGCTTGATCGATAGTAGATATGACATGTTCTTCGTTACGAATCATTGGTCCATTGTTGACAGGTCCGACGGTCGGATAGGCTTCTGAAACATCGCAAGATTTCATGAGATTGACAAGAAGTAATTCCATGGAAGTACCAAGGGAGACCCTGTCGCGTAATCTGTCTTGTGAGGGATATTCCACTCAAAGTGCTCACTCTACTGGCAAAAAACTGCTGTCCCACAAATTCAGTGGGGCCGGCGAACATTTAAAGTTCCCT